TTTCATTCACCACTACTCTGTGCCACACACTCTTATACTGCTTGTTACTCACAATCTGATTAATTCCAAAACAAATGTCAAACAAGTTTATTAGAACCATCACAAATAAAAGAAGCTAGCTGGTTAAGGTAAGTATATATGATTAATTAAGGAGGGAAAGTTGATGAGTGACCTCAAGTTGATCTCCAATGTTGGCAAGTAAGCAATAAGGCAAAGGAGGATTCACATTAACCCATTTATGATGGTGCTTCACTGGAATGCCTTTGATTCCATTTTCAATGAGGAGGGTTAGTAAGCCATTGTCAGCATGAGGAAGTAACCCTAAAGTAAGGTCTGGTTGAGGATATGGAGGGTACAAGTTCGCTTGACATGTTTGATGCCCAGAATCAACACCTGTGGACTCTATAATGGCCTTGGCTTGTAATCCTAAACTCTCTGATATTCCTTCCTGCAAAGTCCTTGCCACATTTCTTATTCTCTTGTTGTATTCAAATGCTTACTCTCTGCAAAATAAGAATGAAAATGTTGTATTTGTTAAAGCCCCAAAGTTTTTATCAGGCTTCTAGATTTTTCTTTTATTTAGAGGGATAAATACTAATGACTTGAGGTTATAGGCGGCATGATCAAAATCGTGACCTCTTATTTACAAAAGAGTTTTCATGTCATTAGATTATGAGGCTATTGACAAGCTTCTACATTATTAAATGAGAGCATATATGTGAGTACGTAGGTTTAACACTGCTTCTTAATTCAAAATCTTGTAACGTCACATTTTTAGTCTATTTCTGCTAATATGACAGGCTTCAATTTCCCTATATATATATATATATATATATTTACTCATTCTTGGATGCTAACAAAAATTTAAAAAAAAAAAAAAAAAAAGAAGATAGAGGAGAGAAAGAAAAAAGAGAGGTTGAAATTGAGCGTACTTGAAACGAGCGGGCTTGTGGGGGGAATGGAATTCAGGAAAAGTAGCGAGTTTTAGATAATCTCTCCAGTAACGAACCTTCTCTCCATAAGGAAGGGAACTGGTACCAAATCTAATGGGTGTGATTATTTATTGATCAAAAAATTCCATCTTTTCCTCATGAGGCAAATCGTGAAACTCCAGTGACTTGTTTATCTCCTCCTCCATCAGTTTCTCTGAAATCCCATGATTTGTAATCTGAAAGCGACACATCCAAAAACAAAGTCAACCAGAAAAGCAATTCTAGCTGCCATAGAGACTTCAACTCTAGCTGCCATAACCCTAGGGTGTGTTTGGATGAAACCAAACCATGGTTTGGAAAAGTGATTCTGAAAAAAATTAGATTTGTGAAGAATAGATTTTGTGAAAAAGTGATTCTGAGAAGTGAGGGTGTTTGGATAGTTATTGCAGAAGCACTTTTTACATATGGAAATTACCAAAAAGGGTATAAGTTAATATAATAATTATATAAGGGATATTTTATAACATATTTTGATTTGAAAAAATAAAATTGTTAATGAAATAATTTTTACTCACATAATTAATAATTTATAAGATAATATATACCAAAAATCTTACCAAAAATTTCTTACCAAAAATCTCATCTTTAACCCCACTTTCATTCACTCCCTCCTTCTCATGTCTATTTTCTACTCTATATATACTTGGTTTATCAAATAATTTTATTGATCCCACCCACCACCCACTGTATTAATTCTTGAATTTGATGCCTGAGTTTTTCAATAATTTCATTGACCGCATAGTTCGTTGAATGCCAACTAGAGAGAGGGGGCCTTTTCACGATCCGATTCATGAGGATAAGCTTGCTGTACCGTTCCCTCCCTTGCTTTCGTCCTGCTACTGAATTATATGAGATCCCACAAGATTGAATCTGCGCGTCACTGTTATAATACGCCGGCCATTTCTTCTCCTGTTAATTTTCCTTCCCTCTCTCTCTCTTCCTTACTCTCTGTCATTTAACTTTCGCAGTTTCTGGCTTTTTTCGCGCTCTGTTTTTTAGCACTTCTCTTCTGTCCTGTAAATGCGATTTCTCTCAGCGGCACCTTCAAACCGTGGCTGGACGGTGACTTCTCCACCGGCGGCGACTCGTTTTGTGAAGAAGGAAAGGAAGACCGTGGACGACTGGGCAATGAGGACCGACTGGGGAAGAAAGCGTGAAAGAGGAGAGGAAGAAGAGCCATTATTTGAACACGCCTGGAGCCTTTGTTCATCTGTTGAGGGGCCCACCATGACTTTTTAGTAATTGGAGGCGAGAAGCACATCAAAATAGCTTCTGATAAAACCATGGTTTCACCGGTTGAAACCATGGTTTTACCTAAACCAAGGTTTGCTCATTTTATCTGCCTGTTTGGATGATATTTTGTGCAAACCATGGTTTGCAATGTCATCCAAACAGGCTCTAAATATTCTCAAAAACTTTAATTACCATGAAGAAGCCCCATTCTCTGCATGCATCACCTAGCTGTGTCGAACTGCGTCGGCATGGATTTGAGGAGCCGGTGAGGTGAGGAGCGAGAAATCGAGGATGGGGGTGGAAGCAGCAAGGTCATCATCTGCAACATCATCACGACGAGGTTCAGTGAGAGAGTAATGCGTGGTCGGGATGGGAACGGCGCCGTTTGATTCAATGAAGGCCTTGATGCTTGTAGTATTATCATCAGAAGCATGAAGCGTTTGAGGTTCTGACGAGGAGGAAATAGTGAGAGGTGAAGCCATGGAAACATGAGAGTTGAAGATACTGTGAACAGAAATAAAGAAAGAGTATTGCAGGAACAATATAATACGAGATACTCCTCCGGTCCTTAATATAAGACCAAATTCTTAAGTTGGTTTTGGTCCTAAATATAGAACCTATTTCTCATATTTATTAATTTTCTCTAAATTACCCTTATGGATACTTCCTCAACCACAATCAAGTAGAAGAAGGAGAGGGGTATTAAGAAAGATGATTGTGGTATTTTAGGAAAAATGTATCACTTTTCTTATAATTAACTGACTTACCTAACTTCCTTAATCTAATCAAATTAGTTAAATGGGTCTTATATTAAGGATAAGAGGAGTATTTGGTAATAATTGATCATAATTGACTAGTGTGGTCAATGACTGATTCAATAATTGAGAACAGAGACAATACTTTTGAGTTGATTGATTCACTTTACTTATATATATATCTCACAGTTATCGATATTTCCAGTTTGGGAAATTCACTAGGTAGTCAAATGTATGAGTAGGACAATATGAAATGTCTACATCTTATCCTTTATACAGACTAAGGTCCATACTAGCGTCGGTGCTAATTAGCTGCTTATATATGTCGTCTATGATCACGTGACATAATAACAGCCAGACTTGTTGAAATTTGAGTCGAGAATCACTTGACACAATAGAGGGAGGGCAAGATCTAAGTTTGATCTTTTAAGTTTCATAATTTTATTAGTCACTTGTTAAGTTTAAATTTGAGACCTCATCCAAATGTGATAGGTGGTACTTTGATTAAGGGTGTGTTTGGCAAGCACCCCAAACCATGGTTTGGGAAAAATGTTAGCCAAACACCCTTAAAAAAATCAAAACCATGGTTTGGGTTCAAAACCATGGTTTTGGGAAAAGCAGAAATTTTTTACTTTTGGAGAAAAAAAGGGAGAGTGTGAGAGCCTATAGGATATGTATCTTGTTGTTTTTTTTTTATAAAAATATTTTTTATAAACATATTTAATCTTATATCTTATAAATATATATACATATTAATTATTTATTAATTATATTATCTTATATATTATTAATATATGTTAATAAAAAATATATTATTAACAATTTTATTCCTTCAAATTAAAATATATCATAAAATATATTTTTTCTATAATTATCATATTAATTTATGCCAATTTGTATATTAAAAAGTACTTCTAATAACAACTATCCAAACACTCACACTTCTCAAAATCACTTTTTCACAAAATCTATTCTTCCCAAAATCTATTTTTTTCATAATCTATTCTCCAGAAGCTATTCTCCAAACCATGGTTTGGTTTCATCCAAACACACCCTAAGACAATTTGTCATAACCATTAGATTCTTTTTCAATACTTGTAATGCATATATAAACATGTATCTTTTTCAATACTTGTAATGCATATATAAACATGCATAATATATATAAATATAAATATCTTAGAAACATAATTTATGTTTTTCAAAAAAATTAAAAAATTCTCACTGTTCCACTGTGGTTGGTTTTCATTGGTTTTATCAATTTTCTATTCGTTCTGATTTGTTTTAAACCGGTTTTCAGATTTACATCTTATATTAGATTAGAGGCAATAATACGAGTTGATAGCAAGTTTAGGTTGGCAAAGGTGCAGGTTCTGACGGGCTGGCATATAATCTTTCTTAATTATATATATATAATGCTTTTTTTTTTAATTCTTTTATCTTAACATACTTTTAAAAAAACAAAACACCTACCTTTTTCAAGTGAAGCAACACCCGATGATGCATTTAAAAATAATATAAAAATATTCTTTTTAATTTATTTATAAGTCACTTCTAACATGTTTCATATAGATCAAGAAAAATTTTAAACTTCGTTAACTTTCATTTAAAATTTAATAACTTTTTAACTTTAATCCTATTTAATATACAGTAGACCTTATATAAGTAAAATCAACATCATAACAAACGAAGAGTAAAATTATATATCCATACAAAAAATTTCTCTCAATGTTCTATAACTAGTGCCGAAAACAACTTATCTCTATCCTATAAATAGCACTAAAATAGTATTGTCTTTTTTATAGTCCAATGACATAATTTGAAGAATTTACTAAGTTGTTAATAATAATGATGGCAGAATAATAAAATAGTAATAATAGGCTTTTAAATATCAGGTTCATGAGGATAAGTTTATTAAAAGAGATCTTATCACAATTTGCAAGTCAACATTAAAAGCATCTAATCAAAATTTATAGGTTGATATCACAAATAACTTTTTTTTTTAAAAAAAGTATATATATAACCAACAAAGTCTTAATTAATACAACAGTAACAACAAGCCTTATCTTATTAGATGGGGTCGGCTTAGTCTTACTTAATAACATAGAATAATTTAACTACCAGACAACTTAATATCAATCCATGCATCTCCCCATCATCACACAATATTTATAAGCATATAGGCTAGCGACCAAGACACAAACTCAAATCTATCGTCGAATAATAACATAAGATTACATGAGTTTATTAATTGATTGGAGCATAATTTATTATTGTCACTAATTAATACGAATCATATCCAAGCCTCTCTTATCAGCAATTCTGGCCTCTTGTTGAACTTTGAAGTAATCCTTATACTTGATGCTCTTATACACTGCCTTCTCCTTCTGTAGAAGCTCCGGTGCAGGACCTGTTTCGTTCTCAAGGGAAGGTCCATTCCCCAGTGCCAACGTAACCCTTGCGTGTCTTTCATTCACCACTACTCTGTGCCGAATACTCTTGTACCTTCCGTTAGTGACAGCCTATTCATAACAACAAACAAAGGGGTTAGAAGTTGAAAAAGAGGCTGGTTAATTATATGTTAAATAATCAATATATATAATCACTGCATTAATATGATATATGCAAAAGACTGTTTTCAGAATTTAAACCAGTGACCTTTAGATCGAATGACAGCAACCTCATCATTATTATTAAGCTCACCTCCGTCGTTAAAGTGACTGAATTACAAACTTTTGCTTACAAAGATTATGTAAGTGGTTACGTACTGTACAAGTTTTCAATCTGGCTTACTGTTATAGTTTAAATATGCGGAAAATAGAGACTAATTCAGAATGTTTTAAGAGTTGAAATGATGACCTCAAGTTGATCTCCAGTGTTGACAAGTATGCAATTGGGAATAGGATTGACGTTGACCCATTTGCCATCATGCATCACCTGAAGGCCATTTACGTCATTTTGAATGAGAAGTGTCATCAAGCCGTTATCATTATGAGGAAGCAACCCTAAAACAAGGTCTGGTTTAGGACATGGAGGGTACAAGTTGGTTTGACATGTCTGATAACTTGAATCGTAGTCTGTGTAATCAATAATGGCATTGGGTCGTAACTCGTAAGTCTAAGCTCTCAGATACTCCTTGAAGCAAAGTCCTCAATACCTCTCTGATTTTCCTACTGTACTCAAACGCAAGCTCCCTACAGAGAAACAAATTAAAGGTGTTGAATGAAGAAGAAAGAGAAAGATGAAAAACGAAGAACAAGGTAATGGATGAAGTTCTTGAACGTACGAGAAACCAGGAGGTTTGTGGGGAAAATTGAAATTAGGATGTGTTTCAACTTTGAGATAATCTCTCCAGCAATCAGCCTTCTCCCCGTGAGGAAGAGCACTTGTGCCATATCTAATGGGTGTGACCAATTCTTCATTTGCAAGCTCCTTCTTTTCCACAAAAGACAAGTTGTGAAACTCGACACTCTTGTTTAATAGATCCTTCATCAGCTTCTCTGAAATCCCATGATTTATGATCTGAAAGCGACAAACACACACACAAATATATACATACACATAGTACGACGTAAACCATAAAATCAACATCACAACTCGGTTTTAGGAAAGAGGTTTGAAAATTTACCATGAAGAAGCCCCATTCTTTGCAGACAGTGCCGAGTTGTCGGACAGCATTGGCATGGACATGAGGGTTGTCGGAGGTGAGGAGGGAGAAGTCTATGACGGGGATGGAAGCAGCAAGGTTGTTTTCTGCAACATCTTCACGAAGCTCATGGACAGAGAAGTAGGTAGAAGGGATTGGAACGGCGTCGTTTGATTCAATGAAGGCTTTGACGCTTGAAATTTGAGACGCTTCAAGCTTTTGGGGCTCTGGTGAGGAAATAGTAACTTCTGAAGCCATATAGATAAAGGTTGAAAGGCACTATGTCTTAATAGAAATGAAAGCAAAGGGCTTAAATGTAGATGCGTGTGTTTATAGATATACACACAAAAGGAAATGAGGCAAGACACTGTCCAAGGGGACCATGTGCATGTGCTCATAGGGCTTTCAGATAATGATAATGATCACACACACGCACAAGCACGCACGCACGCGCGCACACACACAAGTGAGAAACATGCATTTGAATTTTGCTTTTCCAGAAAATAAGCTGTTACTGCCACGGTTAGGGGTGGAAATAGGCTAGGCCAGGCTTTCCCCTCAACAGGCTAGGGCTTTTTTGTAACAAACAAGCTTAAGTTTCACCTGTGGCCTGTTAAAGGCTTTCTTTTCAGCCTAAGCCCTACTTGTATAAAAGTTTGACCTAACCTGAAGCCTGTTAAAGGGCCTACATTTTTTTCAAAAACTATAAACAGGCTAACAAGCCAAGGCTAAAAATAGGCTTTTACAGAAAACAGGTCTAAGCCTTTAAACAGTCCGAAAACAGGCCATATATACATAAATAAATTCAAAATTATAATAACCCAATCCAAAATTATCTAAAATACAACACAAGATCTAATATAATCTAATTAATCAACAAGATAATACCAAATGCAACAAGGGAACAAGTTTCATTACAATTACAATAATTTTGACCAAATAAAGGTATAGCAGTCCGTCGCAGATCATCAAATTTTCAACGTAGTTTCTTCTAGTTTGAACACCTTGAAAAGAAGAAATGAAATGTATAATACTCCCCCGTCCTGAATATAAGACCCAGAGAAGTCTATTGGCAATGAATCATAAACTAGAAATGAATCATAAAGCACATACTAGCAATTTAGCATATATCAGTTGAATGACTAAAAACATGCTTCCACCCTCTAGGAAAATGAGTAAGAAACCCGATAAATCAAAAGTAAACAAAAATATCCACAACACTAAAATTCCTAGTTTTCTGTAGAAAAATTCTGACAAAATCTTGATCCATTGGCACAATACAGGCTATTGTAGAATCTATAAACAAGGCACAGCACTGTATGATTAAAATTTTGATAAAACATGTTACTCTCCCTGTATATTATACATATATTCATGGCGGTGATATATATGGGAATATATGCATGGGACCTTGTGTGTGTGGGTGTTTATGGCGGTGACTTCTGATTTCAGCGATTTCTTCCATGAATGTATATATAATCATATTCAGACTTCAGATTTCTGCCATGAATAATGAAATCATATCAACAGTCGACCGCTTTTGTTAGTTGAATACGATGGACGAGAAAGTACTGTTCTAGTTATCAAAGTTTAGTTTGTAACAAAAAGCTTACCCATTGACGACGCACGATGTAAATGAGTACTGAAGAGGAGGAGAGATTAGATCTGGAGATTGGGATAGAGTGCGAACGGCCAACCGTGGGAGCTCGGAGCTGGAGAGTGAACGACGGCAATGCTGTGGCTTGTAAGATCTGACCGTGTGAGGTCGGAACTGGAGATCGTGAACGACGCTGGTGAGATTTAGGGAATGGGGAACAAAGTCGAGACTGGAGATGGAGAGCTCGAGCGTCGGCTGGATTGAACCAAAAATATCAGGTTTTTTTGGTTGGGGGGGTAAACTTTGGGTTTAAAGTTGTAAATCGTGCAAGATGAGTGGCCAAAAAACGCAATTGCGTGGGGCGTAAGATTACGATCGTTTCAACTGCAGGCCGCGGGTTCAAGACGTGTTTTCAACATAATGCAGCCTGAGTTTAAGGGCTCTTTCTTTTAATATGCTACTCCCTCCGTTCCTTATTATAAGAGACATTTGATGCTTATGGCATGTTTCTATATATAAGAGACACTTAAAAGTTGTCTCTACTTTTCTGTGTTGATTTTCTATTTTACCCATATTTATTATCTCCAACTCACACTCTCTCTCCTTCCCATTTCTCTTTCTTTTAATAATTTAATTGTTCTCTCTCATGCTCTCTCTCCTTATTAATGAGGACATTTTTGAAAAAAAAATTATACTTTTTACATATTAATTGTTCTTAACTAATTTTAACTATTTTTTTGATCAACGTACTTCGGTTATTTGTCTCTTATAATAAGGAACGGAGGGAGTAGTATTTTAGAATTGATTACTCTTTCTTTAGACTCTCATAATATAAGTGCTGGTGTGTGTGTTAAGGGTCGTTTGTTTTACTAAAAGTAAAAGAAACCGTGTGATTTAATAGGGTACAAGCATGCTAATTAGAATTTTGTATAAATGTAATTTTTTCGGCCTAAACTAGGAGTGTTCACGGGATGGGATGGGGACAAGCCTGTCCCGGTCCCCTCCCGGTGAACAAGAATGGGACAGCACTTTTGTCCCGTATCCCATCTCGTCTCGGTTCTGTCTTGGTTCTGTCAGGCTCGAGACGGGGCTCCTTTTTTTAAAAAAAAAACCATAATTTTTTATGTGAATTTTTTTATGTTATAATGCTTATTTTTTATTGAGCTTCTAAAAATAAAAACATTACAAGAAAATATTATGTAGAAAGCTCAATTATATAATATAAAAAAGATGTAAAAACAATATTGTAAAAAAAATACCATAAAAGAAACACTATATAATGATTTTATGAATTATTTTATTGAGAGAGGAGATTTTGTTGAGATAATACTACAATTTAAGAGTTAAAAATCACTATAAAAATAATAATTATTATTATTAATAAGTAAAGTGAATAATCTAATAATAATTATTAATAAATAACTTTTTTTTAAAAATACCCTCGGACGGGACAGAACGGTACGACGTCCCGTGTCCCGCGTCCCGTCCCGTCCCGGTTATTGTCCTGTCTCGGTTACCATCCCGTCCCGTCCCGATTATCATCCCGTCTTGTTTCGTGCTTGTCCTATTCTGAAATTTTTTTTGTCCCATATCGAACTCATCAGGACCGAGATGGGACAAATTAAACACCCCTAACGTAAACACACATAAAAGAGATAAAGTGACAAGAGGAAAATTAAAGAGACAAGCCAATGTCTCTCGTTTGGTAAACTAGGATTGAAGTTATGGAAAGGGAATTTTGAATAAGATTGGTAATCTTGCTTCAAATATGCACGGCTCATACGCTTTCCAATCTTCATTTCATTTCCTAATGCTGTAAAAAGGGCTTGTTTGCCCAAATATGATAAACTGTGAAAATTTTTTACTCAGATACAATAAGATCAAAAATATTTACCGAGATGCTATACCTGAAATCGTTAAACTATGATTGAGTTTAAATTTGTATAGAACTCATTAAGATGAAGAACGAGTTCAGTGAGACCTACATCACAAAACAATAAAACTCGTTTAGATAGAGAATGAGTTCAGTGAGATTCACCTTACAAAATGAAACTTGGTCTTTGTTTGAACAAGTTCAGTGGGACCCACAATCCTTTTGTCTTCCATCTTAATACTCTCCACGTGATTTTTTCTTTCTTATTTGACTAGACCCCATGCTTTTTCTTTTTCAACCACACACACAAAGCTGCTCCTGGTTGATTTCCTTCCCCAAATATTTCCATCAGTATAGGGGCTTAGGAAGTAGTCATTCGAATGTCTTCAGTTCATGCCCAGTAAGTATTTTTTGTTGGCATGTGAGTGTATAGTGTACATTCTATCATTGCCTATATAATGCATGCAATTTTTTACTCAAATCTACCTTCCTTCTCGTTCCTTCTTAAATTCTTCTCAAAGTTCTCCAGCTTCTTCTATTCTTTTTTCTCCTTCCACACTTTCGTTCTGTGAAATCAGTGGTATGTGTGGTCTTGCAAATATTGTAGTTTACTTTTTTATAATATGACTATATATATATATATATATCTTTTTTTAGTAGATAATGTTCAAGTAAATATGTAGTCAGATTAAATATGTTTCTAGTTAAATTATGTTTTGTTGTGAGCTTAGTTTGGTCTTCTATCTGGCCAATGAAAATTAGTACTAAATAGTGCCAAAATTTTCTTGATAAAAAGAGTATTGATGGTGGGATTAATAATAATAAAAGAAAGGATTTTTTTTATTTTTTGGGAAAATTAGACAGGAAGACCTAGAAAAAGCAATATTTATTAAAGAGGATCTTATAGATTATAATTATTTAGGGAGACCAAATAATAAAATATAAATTAAAAAAATACTCAACAGCAATGGCTAATTATTTTGTCATATTAAGTAATTATAATTTTTAAATAACTAGTGTGAAATAGTTATTAATATTTCTTTTTGTTTTCAATCATAGGGATGCTTTTTTTGGGTCACTTAAATAGTACCTAATATAAAATTACACAAGTGCATTCATTATAAACTTATCATTATTCAATGCAAATTTTGCTTTATGCGTTAGTCAAAGTATATATCTTATCAGAAGCCTTTATTGATAGTACAGAAATTAGAGGCTCAAAAGAATATAATAATTCTTTAATAATACAGATAAAGTAAAATTGAACATTTGAAATATGAAGTTGGGACTAAGAGAAAAATGAAGCAGAGGCAATTTTTTGAATAAAAAACTCACATTTTCAAATTAATTTATTTAATCAAATATTTATCTAATTTAATCATTCAAAATATCCAATAATGAAGCATAAGTTAGAGAAAATTTAGGAAAGTAGTTAAGGGGCAATTTAATATTTTAAATATATTTGATCCTTTCAAATAGTTATAATTTTTAAGATCCTTTCTAATAATGAAGCAAAGGCAATTATTTTAGCTCATACTTTTTTATAATATTTAATTATAATATTGTTTGAATAAAACGGAATGTATGAAATAATGGATAGAAAATTATATATTTATATATTAGAATTTATAATACAATTTTAACATATAACATTTATTTTAAATTTAATTTATTTTTTAATTTATTAAATTTAACATATCAATATTTTTATTGTAAATATATTTTCATTATAAATGTTCCACAGTCATTGTTCATTTAAAGATATTATAGGTTACTATCTTACTTAAAAATGTAAATGAGTTTCTTAATAAAAAAATAGCCTAATTTTTATAACTCTAAGTAAATGATTATTCTACAACTTTCTTTTCAAAAATATATAAATAGTTGAATTAAAAATAATGGTATTATGGAGTTAATTTAGTTTTACAATTCACATATTTTCTACTCTGATCATGTATTAAGGCAAGTCGGTCGTTAACAACCTATTCCTATCATGCCTGTTCATTTAAAAAAATTACCATATAATATAGCTGCTTGGCAAAATAACCACAAATTGGGGTCAATAATACCCAAATTTCGTTGAAGCATGGAATGGATAGCCATATGCTGTTGTTGATACTTTGCTGGCACTTGGTGAACTTAATCGAATATTTGAGTACATGCAATGCTATTGGAGATATATAAGATGATGGATCCAATGAGTTAGTGGCGATCCTAGCTATGTGGTAAGGCTTTTTTAGTTTTTTTTTCAATCAATATCATCATTGTCTTTTATACAAAAAGATTTTTCAACGTAATATTTTATTTATTTCAGGCTGATATAACAAAACAGTTATATAGGCTGACGATTAATTCTCGTTTAACATGCTCTAATTGCATTAATTATCTAAAAGGAATTGCTCAAGACCAATGTAGCATCTTACTCGCAATTAGAGAACAACGATTTAATATGAACCCTCAATCAGTTCCACCAACAGTTGAGTTGCCCTGTCCACAAATTTTTCAAGATAGACCAAGCAAATAGCATGGTGGTTACTTGTTTACTCAGCCACCAATAAATTGAAAATTTAAGAGAACAAGAGCATAAAAAATTTAGTCATTCTGATAACATACCAGTCTCATCATCAAGCCCTATGACCTCTTCCAATCCAACTCAATCCTACCCTCCTCACATGCTATCATCATTGACATTATCTCATTCTGACTCACCCAATCCTCCTCAATTTCAATCGTTCGTATCCTTATTTGATGATTCTGTATTATTTATGGATCAATATAACACTTCTTCTTTTGAGCAAGGTGGTCCATCAGATGAAGCATTTGTCATCCCTCAGCAATCACTTTCTTCAGTCAAATCACCTTGGTTTGATTTAGATACACCAACTATGTAGACAAATGAGACATTAGATCAAACTCAAGAAGTAGATACATAACAACAACCACAGCATGCACGGAGGAGACTAGGATGTGGCATCGGGAGTCATTATTTGTTAGGTAAATTAATTCTTATTTTTTGTTCATGTCAATTTAATTATTATTTATTATTAATTTTATAAAACTTAATCATTACTTATTTTCATTAATCACTTTTTAATTAATGTAATATATTACTATTATCATTACATAATGAATAACTCATTATTCTAATGATATGATCATTATTAAAATTCTTGTAGGGGTATTTGTGTGGTGAGAGATTGGAAAGAAGTTTTTCAAAGGTTGATGAAGTTTAAAAGTTGTTCATACCAAGATAACGTTCAATTGCATGCGAAACAACATTTATTGAAGAAATTATTTAGATGAACTTTAAAAGATGTTCAAGTCAAAAACAATTTTGACTGTAGTATTTGGGGAAATAATTCCACTATACAGCATTTGAAGAAATTCTTTTACTATTTGTAGTCTATTGATAAAAATTTCTTGTAAAAAGATTATCGCTCAATTATTGATACTTTTAATCTTTAATATAAGAGCTAGTTGGAGATTCAATTTGATTCTAAATATAAGATCCCAATCTTTTTTTCCTGTAACGTTATTTATCCATTTTATCTTTAAATAATTCTCATGGTGTGGTTGCACATAAGGAGCCTCCATCACTAAGTATTTTCAATGCACATAATTAATAAAGATATTTTAAGAAGAATAACAGCTATTTATTATAAATAACTAATATAATTAATTTTTTTAATATTCACAAACTAGTTATCTAGTTCTTATATTAAAAATCAAAGATAGTATTTGTTAAGATTTGATTGCCACATTAACATCTGTCAGTTATATTTGCGTAATCATCTTTTTCAAATAAAATTCCAAATGATAGTGTTTAGATTTGTGCGTGTTCCTATATATAATAATAACAAAATAATCAGAGCGAGTGCTATCATATATATGTGACATGAAAAACTTTTCAACAAAGTCTTCTTACTTGTTAGCAATTGGAGAAGATACCATGCACTAACAACTACTCCTCCGGTCCTAATTATAAGACCCAATTGACTTATTTGAGGAGATTAAGGAAGTAAGTTAAGTTGGTTATTTATAATAAATAAGTGTTGTCATTCCTAAAATATCCTTGCTAATTAAATATATTGGTTAAAACTATCATTATTAGAAAGATTATCTTGGAAAAAAATGCATAAATATAAGAGACAAAATGGATTGGGGTCTTATAACTAGGACCAAATAAAAAGTCAAATGGGGTCTTATAATAAGGACCGGAGGAGTAGTATTACAAAATCCTATATCCTCACTATCCTCAGAATCTAAGATAACGAAAGGACATTCATCAATAGGAAACATCAGAGTCCCAAGCCATGTGTCTGCTTATTCCTTGAAGCAGACATGAGATTTCAGCTCCAGAGAAAGTCATAGGAGAGCAGTAGTACATTGATAAAACCAGACATGGAGAGGCTAGTTAGGTTAAACAATCATTGCATTAATATGCGTTCATAAAATTACCAAAACAATCCTTCCTCTATTGCTGACTGTTGATGTCAAGTTATTTTCAATGGTGACGATTCAGCCGTGGTTCTCCTTGATCCATCATATGCGGCACCATTATTATGATGTTTTTGACACTGCTGTGTCATTCTGTTAATATAAGTCGACATTGGGACCTTTCTAAAATGTTGTAGATTCCTTAAGGGAAGATAATGTTGCAATAATTCGCATTCAATCACCACTTAAAGGATATTCTATTGAAAAAGAAACTGGCATAAGTATACACACGTATTCTGATAAACCATTGTTACAAGCTCTTATTTTGTCACTATATCACTAAATGTAAGATAAACAAAGAACATTAATTAGAAGGAAACATTAGAGCACTTAGCCAAATGTTGTAACTGCAGCAAAGTAATCTAGCTATTCCCTGAAGCAAAATATGAGACTTGAATTTGAGACAAAGGCATTGGAAAAGTATTAGATATATAGATCAAATCTGTCTTCAAGGATGTTGCACCCACTGCTTGATCTGCTGCACTTGCATCCCATAGCCAAAACATATCGAACAATAAACAACATAAAAGAAAGAAAAAGAGCCAGATCAGAACTAAATTTGTTTTAACTAAAAGAAGAAAAAGAAAGATAAATGATCATGCAAATCAAAGAGACGATAACTTCTGAAATATGTGATAGCTATAATCCATTACGTACCTCAACAACAATTTTAACTCGTTCCAAATATTCGATGGAAACTCTTAAGCGTGAGGGCCACATGGACATAAAGGCGGTCGACCAAACTGTCAAATGATTGGAAAAATCTCTGTCCCCATGTCTGATGAGGAAGAGAGAACCACAAACTACCCAGAAGCCTACTGCAAATCCCACTCCCATCCCAAGATACAATGACTTCAAAAAGCTGTCATCTTCGTTCCCTTCAACCAACTTTGGGTTGTGAGCTTCTTTCTTGTTGCACTTTATTGGAAGAGGAACCCCACAAAGTTGAGGATTGCCAACAAAACTCCAAGATTCAGAAGTCTGAATTTGAGTCCCTAAAGGGATTTGTCCAATGAAATTGTTGTATGAGAGGTTCAAAACTTCAAGAAATGATATATCAGAGATGGTTGGAGGAATTTCCCCGTAAAGCCTATTGTAGCTGAGATCAAGAGATTCCAAGTTTTTCAGATCTCCAATTTCTCTAGAAATCATTCCAGTCAAATGGTTTCGAGACAAGTTCAAGGACCACAATAGAGTCAAGTTAAACAACCCCTTCGGAATTTCTCCTGATAAATTGTTGGAAGAAAAGTCAACAATGTACCTTGACAATAAATCAGGGTAATTTAATTCCCTTCCCTTAGAAAATAAATTTGTTTCCTTATAGAAATAAAAAAAGGTCCATAAAGTTCTAGGATCAAACTGCATGATGTTATACAAGCATGGTGGTATGGATCCTGAGAGCTTGTTATCAGCAAGATCAATTACCATTAGAAAAGACATGTGGCACAGCTGTGTTGGAATATTGCCAATAAATTGGTTGGCCCTCACTTTGAAAACCACCAAATTTTGCTGCATTGTATTTGGCAAACCTCCTGAAAATTTATTTCGCTCAAGCGCGAGGTATTCCAAATATGTCCAGTGTGATAAGTTTAACGAAAAGTTTCCAGAGAAACCATTATCACACAGAGACAACAAATGAAGATTTGTTAATAGAGCCATTGAGGGAGGAAGTTCACCAGATAGCTTATTACCCCTCAAATTAAGGTAAACTAATTGTTTCCAACTGGCCCAGCAATCAGGGAGTGATCCACTTAAATTATTATGCGATATATCCAAAATAGACAGCATGTTTTCAGCCCTATTACTCTCTCTGGGGCATAGGAACGCAGAAATGGATCCTGAGAACGAGTTATGAGAAGCTTGAATGTACATAACATTTGCTGATATGTGAGGGAGGCCTCCGGTAAAATTGTTATAGTCCAAACGTATATCTCTTGAGTGAAGTGTCACATTGGATATGTCTCCACTGATGAAGTTGTTTGATAGGTCAACTTCATCAATTCTAGCTATGAAGCCCCACAATATATCTGCATCAATGTTTGAAATCTCTGATCTAGAGATTTGGAGCCTTTCTAGAGACCTTTGTGTATATAGCCATGTTGGAAAATTAGGACCTAAGCTTGTATTTGCTGAAGAGAAATATTTGAGTTGAAATGGTGGCACCCAGTTAGGATCAAAGTCAAATTTAAAACTAGTTGAACTCAAAGCTAGTGATGCTAAGCTTGATAGGTTGGCAAAGTTCTTTTCTGAAAGGACACCTGACCAAGAATTGCCATCAATACTTAAAGATTTTAAGTTATGAAGCTTTCCAAGGCTTTTGGGAAGATTTCCTCTGAAATGATTGTGAGACAAATCTAAGGAAATCAAGGAAGAAAGGTTTCCAAGACATGATGGAATAGAACCATTCAACTGATTAAGATAGATTTCAAAATGCTGCAACTGTTCATGTTGGCAAATCCAATCAGGAATTGATCCTTCAAGATTATTTAAACTCAAATTTAAATGCTTGAGGTTTTGAAGATGGTGCAAGGCTTTTGGTAATTGACCATAGAAATTGCATCCCAAAAGGTCGAGGTGATAGATGTTACTGGTAATGTTAAAGAATGAATTGGGTATTGAGTTGATACAGTTGAAAGAAAGATCAAGAATTTCAAGTGATGTAAAATTGATATAATCAAGGGAAGGAAAATCTGTGAGTCCACAACCCCTCAAATGTAACACAGAGAGTGAAGGAAGCATGGATATATGGTGGAGCCATTTGTTTTCATTTCCAATATCACTGTTAGTGAGGTCAAGATATTTCAAGGAAGAAAGTTGAGAAAGCCAATGAAGGTCATTGATGACTAAACCATTAACTGAAAAGTCAAGATAACGCAGAGCAACAGAAAAGCATGCTGACCGATTCGAAGGGGTAGGAAGTGATTGGTTGTGAAATTTGTGAGCATCAAAAGGAGATTTGGAGATTTGGCATGGTGGCACACTCACAGTTTTGAAGTCATTGTGGCTCAGGTCCAAGTGGTTGAGGAATTCAAGTTGAAGCACACACAGATTAATGTCACCTCGCAATGTACGATTGAAAAGAGAAAGCTTTGTGACTCTTCCGGTCATGTTGTTGCAGTGAACTCCCTCCCATAAACAGCAATCTTCTTTGGAAGTCCAAGAAGAGAGTTGGTTATATGGATCAACCACTCCTTGTTTGAAGATTAAAAGCAGCTTTTCATCATTTTCATTGCAACTGATCACCCTGTTGAATGTTGTTGTAAATAGCACAAACAACAAAACAGAGGAAGTTTGTGAAGCGAAGCTAGCCATTGGGGTAAGTTTGAGAATAGTGGCCTCAACGTGAGAAGTCTTTGCATCATATGTATATATATTGGAAAATCAGAAACTACGTGGTAAATCTGCTGCAAGTCTTCTCATTCTCCTTTGAATTTTATGGGAAAAAAATATATACTACTTCCGGTCCTAATTATAAGACCCAGTTGACTTATTTGAGGAGATTAAGGAAGTAAGTTAAGTTAGTTATTTGTAATAAATAAATATTGTTATTTCTAAAATATCCTTGCTAATTAAGTGTACCGGTTAGAACTATCATTATTAAAAGGACAATCTTGAAAAAAAATACATAAATATGAGAAACAAAATAGATTGGAGTCTTATAATTAAGACCAAACAAAAAATTAAACCGGGTTTTATATTAAGGACCGGAGGTAGTAATATTTATGAAGCATGAATCTTATACTATGAATTTTGCGATATGTCTGTATGATGGGTAAGGGAGAAGTGAAGCGTTGGGTGGCGTATTTATTGCAAGTGGGAAAGGGAGACAGATCGGCTTAGCCGCCGTTTGTCTTTGGTTCTCCCTTTCCCGCAGCTTCCCTCCTGCGTCCCACGTGTTTCGCTCTGTTCTTTTCCTGACAACACGTGATTTAATGGCAATAAAAAAAACTGGAGACAACCCACTCCACAAGCATACTAATTAGAATTTTGTATAAATATATATAAATATTTTCCGGTGTAAACATACATATAATTTCTTTAAATTATACTCCCTCCGTTTCTTCTTATAAGAGACAAATAACCGAAGTACGTTGATAAAAAAAATAGTTAAAATTAGTTAAGACCAATTAATGTGTAAAAAGTATAATTTTTTTTTTCTAAAAATGCCCTCATTAATAAGGAGAGAGAGCATGAGAGAACAATTAAATTATTAAAAGAAAGAGAAGTGGGAGGGAGAAAGAGTGTGAGTTGGAGACAATAAATATGAGTAAAATAGGAAATCAACACAAAAAAGTAGAGACAACTTTTAAGTGTCTCTTATATATAGGAACATGCCATAAGCATCAAATGTCTCTTATAATAAGAAACGGAGGGAGTATTAATTTTAATAATATATCTTAAAATATTCTTTTAGTAATGCCCTGTTTAAAATATTCTTTCAGTAATGCCCTGCATACTGAAATAAATTTTTTTGGTACAATCAGTATTATACAGTATTTTTTTAAATAGTGGTTAGTGTTCCAAAAATACACTTAGCACACTGTGTAACTGAAACCTAAAATTATTTTAAGATACTAAATGCTTCTAGAAAAATCTTTCAGGGTGCTGACTAGAGCCAAAAATTATTTTAAGATATTGGGTGCTCTTGAAAGAAACATTTGAGAATGTTGACTAAATTTTTAGGATATTAGGTGTTACTGAAAAAATAACTTATGGTGCCGCCAAAAATTATTTTAAAAAAGTGAGTGCTCTTGAAAAATATTTTAGTGTGCCAATTGTATTTTAGGATGGGATACTGAGTGTTATTAGAAACATAATACTTTTTTTTTTTTCATGAAGAGATTGGGTAGGGAATGTAAAATTTTTATACCATTCAATAGTGATGTTAAATGCCCCTCGCACTGCAGAAACAGGCGAATGACTCTGCCTCGATAACCAAGGCATGACTCTGTTATTCCAAGCGGCATAAACCAAAATGGAACAGAGCAATCACGTGGAACACCATTCGTCAGAAGTTTCTTGCTATCTACTCCGCTTGATACTTAACATAAGAATTAATTTAATTTTTAATTTAATCTTAAATATAAGATGTCAATTCACTTCATCTTTTATGTTTATCTCTTTTTTTTTTAAAAAAATAGTTCTTATAGTAGTTGTACATGTTAAATGTTCTATCAAATAGTAGTTCTAACTAATACACATAATTAATAATAGTATTTTAGGGAAGATAATAATAGTATTTTTGGAAAGATAACACCTCTTTATAACAAATAAATAACTTAACTAATTTTTTTGATTTATTCAAATTAATCAATCAACTTTTATATTAAGAATTAGAGATAGTATTATGTCATGTACAAGTAGAGTACTGACGAGGTGCACAAGACTCTCAATCTCTCATAAGGTGGAGCCTGAGAAGGGACATAGCTAATGAGAAGGAACGAGGCTTGTTAGTTTAGCACTGGGGAATATAATACTCCTTCGGTCTTTAATGTAATATCTATTTAACTAATTTAATTAGATTAAAAAAATTAGATAAATTAGTTAATTATAGAAATATGACATGTTTTTCTTAAATCACTATAATCATCTTTCTTAATATCATTTCTTCCTCTTCTGTTTAATTATGATTGAGAAAATATCTATAGGGTTAATTTTAAAAAATTGATAAATATAAGAAGTACATCTTATATTTAGAATCAAAATTAACTTACTAATTAGGTCTTATATTAAAGATCGAAGGAGTACAAGCTTATATAATTTGCTTATAAGCAGGCGCTGCGGCTAGGTTACCAGGTAAAGTAAAGCCAGTTCATGAGAGCATCAAAGCGCAATGACTACTTTAAAGTTCAGGAAGCGGCCACGTGTTTACAACAGAGGCCAGGCAATGTCTGTTCTGAAATTACCAAACAGTCCATGAGCACATGCCTTCATGAAATTACCAAAAGAACCCTCCCTCTATTGCTGACGGTTGATGTCAAGTTCTTGTCGACGATGACGATTCAGCCATGGTTCTCCTTGATCCGTCAGACGTGGCACCAATATTATGACGTGTTTGGCACTGTCGGGTCGTTATCGTGTTAGTACAAAGTCCTAAGGCAAGATGGGGACTTTTACAATCACTGCTTAAAGGATATTCCATTGAAAAAGAAACTAGTATAAGTGCACACAGATATTCTGATAAACCATTATCACAAACTCTTATTTTGTCACTATTTTACTAAATTTAAGATAAACAAAGAACATTAATTAGAAGGGAACGCTGGAGCTCTAAGTCAAGTGTAACTGTCAGCAAAGCATCCTAGCTATTCCCTGAAGCAGAATATGAGACTCGAATTTGAGACAGGCATCATTGGAAAAGTAGTAGATATATAGATCAGATCTGTCTTCAAAGAGGCTACACCCATCGCTTGATATGTTGCACTTGCGTCCCATAGACAAAGCGTGTTGAACAATAAACAACATAAAAAAAAAAAACCAGTAAAGAACTAAATTTGTTTAACTAAGATAAGGAAAAAGAAGATAAACTTTCATCCAAATAAAGGAGAGATATGACCTTTTTTTCCTTTTTGGAAATATATGATCGTTAAGTCATTGCCTCAATAGTAACTAAATTTGTTCCAAATAGTCGACCGAAATGTTTAAGCATGAGGGCCACGTTGACATGAGAAATGTGTCATCTTCATTTTCTTCGTCCAACCTTAAGTTTTGAACTTCTTTCTTGTTACGCTTGGAAGAAGGTCTCCACAAAGTTGAAGATTGCTAACAAACACTACAAAAAAACATCAAATTAGTAACAGAATTTACTTTCAAAATTTTTGTCACTAATCAAAATTAGTTACGGATTAGCGACGGAATTTAATTAGTTATATCGTCACTAAATAATTAGTGACGGAATTTAAAATTCCATTGCTAATTAGTGACAAATTATTGACATTTTAGTGATGAAAATTAGTAAAAGAAATTTTCTGTTACTAATCCGTTGCTAATTAGAGACGAATATCCTATAAAAATTCTATCACAAATTAGGGATGGAAAATTCCATCACAAATTGGTGACGGAAATTTCCGTCACTAATCCGTCACTAAATTTTTTTATTTTATAAATCCAAAATACCATATGGCAATCATTGATTACTGCGACGTGTCATGTCTGTGACTGCCACCTTATCACCATCTACCACCTCACATTCTCCTCTCTACCCCATGCTACCATGTCATCCCCTCATCCATGTCATCGCCATGCGTCCATCACTATGAGCCACAACGTCATTAATGATTGTCACCTTACCAACTCCTCTCTCCTATGTTACCACGTCATCTCTTTATCTACGTCATCACCACTTGGTCATCATTGTGATCCATCATGTCATCATTGGATGCCACCTCGACTTCTCTTCTCTCCCATGTGGCCATGTCATCCTAGCATCTGTATTATCGCCACATGTCCATCATTATGAGCCGCTATATCGTCGTCCTATCCACATTATCACCACGTCACAAATTGAGCCAATTTGTGAAGAAGTGTTGGTTCAAATCTGAGACCTCATACGTGCTTGTTGAAGCCTTTATCAGTTGAGTTGAGAAACACCTACTAAATTTTTATGCAAAAATAAATATATATAATATTTGTAATAAAAATACAAATATATATAATAAATATTACATACATAATTTAATATATATTATACAATTTAATATATTATTATTTATTTGAATTCAATTTTTATATTTTAGTAAAAATTTCTAATAATTTATATTTTTATTCAAATATTTAAAAAAATAATAAGTATATTATATATTTTTATTTTTATTTTATTTTATATTTTTATTTTTTAAATTTTTATATAATATATTATTTTAAAATTATGATATATTATATTTTTATTTTAATAATAATTTAAAAAATAATTATTATATATTTATATTATATCTTTTTTTGTGATGGATTAGTGACGGAATTGCGACGGTAATTAGTGACAGAAAAACTCAGTCACTAATTTTCGTCACAAAATGAGAGTTAGTGACGAATTGTGATGAAAATTACTGATAGAATTTTTTGGTCACTAATTTCCATCACTAATCATTTAAAACAAAATTAGCGACGGACTTGTGACATAATTTAATGAAGGAAAAAAATTCTGTCACTAATCCATCTCTAATTTAGTGACGGCACTAATTTAGCGACAAAAATTTTTCGTCACTAAATTCTGTCACTAATTTTAATAACGAATTTTGTTAGGGATTAGCGACAGATTAGCGGCGGAATAAAATTGTTGCATGATTGCATGAGTCCCCAAAGGAATTTGTCCAATGAAATTTGTCAGGGATTAGTGACGAATTAGTGACGGAATAAAATTCTATCACTAATCTCCTGGTTTTTTTTGTAGTGAAAACACCAAGAATCGAACGTCTAAATTTGAGTCCCTAAAGGAATTTGTCCAATGAAATTGTTGCATGAGAGGTTCAAGTAAGCAATAAAAGATATATTAGAGATGGTTGAAGGAATTTCTCCATAAAGTCTATTGTGGCTTAGATAAAGAGATTCCAAGTTTTTCATGCCTCCAATATCTTTGGGAATCTTTCTACTCAAATGGTTTGAGACAAGTTCAAGGATTGCATTTGACTCATACTAAATAATCCTCAATATAGGACCCAATTATTGAGTTGGTTTTGGTTCTAAATATAAGACTCATTTCTCATATTTATCAATTTTCTTTAAATTAACCTTATAGATATTCTTTCAGCCATAATCAAGTAGAAGAAAAAGAAAAGGTATTAAGAAAGATGATTATGGTGTTTTAAGAAAAATGTGTCACATTTCTTATAATTAACTAACTTACCTAACTTTTTTAATCTAATCAAATTAGTTAAATGAGTCTTATATTAAGGACCGGAGGAGTAGCTCCTTAGGAATTTCTCTAGACAATTTGTTAGAGGAAAGATCAATTATCCGCAAAAACAAAATGTCAGCATCATCTAATTCTCTTCCTTTAGTATGTATGTTTATAGTTTCCGCCCACAAAAGCTGATCAGTTGAATCCATGATGTTATCTAAGCAATGAGGTATGGATCCAAAAAGATTATTATGACCAAGATCTAGTATCATAAGGGAAGAGAGATTGCACAATTGTAATGGAATCTCACCAATAAAATGGTTGGCCCTCAACTTTAAAAGTACCAAACGTGGAGGCATTGTAGTTGGCAAACTTCCTGAAAATTCATTTCCTTCCAAAAGAAGGTATTGCAAATTTGTCCAAATTTGATATGTCTAATGAAAATTCGCCGAACAAATTGGTACCACATGAATCCAATATCCAAGGATTCAATGAGGCCAGGAAGGGAGGAACTTTACCCTCTAGCTCATTACCCCTCAAATTAAGCTATTCTAATCGTTTCCAATCTACCCACCAGTCAGGAATTGCTCCACTTAAATGATTATGGGATAAGTACCCACATAAGACAATATGCTTTCCTCATCACTCTCTAGTTGACACAATAATAAGAAAATAGAGCCTGACAAAGAATTGTGAGATACATCAAAGTGAGAGATAATTGTTGACGGTATGATATTGGATATGTCATCGCTAATTATGTTGTTTGACAAATCAGCATAATCAATTCCTGCAATTTATTCTTTTTTGGCCAAATGCATAATTCAAGATTCTACTTTGTTTCCTGGTCAAAAAAAAAAAAGATTCTACTTTGTTGTGTGATTTTCTCTTCTCGGGTTGTGTGTGTGTGTGTGTGTGTTTTTTTTTTTAATAGTGGTGAGGCCGTCGTTTATACTTCTGTAGGTTGTAGACCAAGAGTGGGCCTTTCAGGGCCCATGTATGTGGGTTCTTGTTGCTTTCACACCAAATAGAAAAGAGGCAGAGATCAGTGGGATTGGGCCTGACTTAACAAAATGATTAATCTCTCACATGACAAATCAAAATTTAAATATCCGCTGAGAAAAGTACTCACTTTTAATGCTTAACAATATTTCTGATGGGGGGATAATTATGCATACTAAAAAGAATAAAAAGAATAAGAGGGAAAAATTTAATATATGAGCAAATTAAAGAAATTTTGAAGGGAAAAAAACTACTCCTCTGGTCCTTAATATCAAAAGGGGGGAAAACTAGATAAATAGCAAAAGACAAACACATTTTTTGTTGGGTCCATTGATATCAACGCAGTATCAAAATTATATC